AAATCATCTAGCGTATCAAGGTATACATAAAATCACGTATTTTGGCCGTTAAAATTAACGTCTTTTAATAAAACGTTTGATTCCATAAGTTGGAGTTTTATTATGTCCGGATTTTTAAAGAAATGTCCGGAATTTTCATTGGGCATGCCAAGAAATTGTATTTTTGAATATGGTAACATTATACCAGGGAGCATATGCCTCTTACAACCAGTTGAAGGGACGTTTATTAAAATGTAGTAGCGTGATAAACTTTGACATATGTTTAGATTGTGAATAATTTCTCACGAGATTTTGCCTGTGATCTGAAATCTTACTGGATTTCGATTTAGCGATATTTGCTACAAGTTAATTTAATCAGAGGTATGCAAAATAGGGGACAGCTGGGTTTCGCCCCCTTTAACAAAATTATGTGCGATCTTTTGACATTTTGTCAGCAGATCATGATTTCTTATTTACAATTAGACAAAAAACTTTTTGTTACCATTTTCGGGAACCATTTTCCTAAAATGAAATCTGCATTTCTCAAGTTTTGAATTTAAAAATACTATATTTCCTTGAAAATGTTTGAGTCGCAACATATGCAGCTCATGAAACATGTTTAAAAAAGTTTCTTGAGATAAATAATGGACTCGAAAACTTAATAATGACCTGGTCATTTTACAAAAAGGAAATTTTAAGAACATATTCTTCGAAAGAATGCAAGGAGCCCTCAAAATTATAGAACCAAAAAGCATACATTGTAAAACGTGGGGCGCACCTTGGATCTCTCCCCTAAAGTCGTCACATGGACTTACACGACCATAATACGACCCATACTAACATACGGTAGTTGTCTGAGTACCGAAAACCTAACAATTGACAAACTAGAACAACAACATAACAGGGATCATCAAAACCACAACAACCAGAGACTTGGAAATCATTCTTAGTCTCACAACCTTTGATATTTACATCAAGAAGGTCACTCTGATAACAGTGACACAGTGGTTGAAATAGACCTTGATGTAGGAACTGGTGAGGCGAACATGGGCTCCATCTCACCGAGATATATCTTCTATACGCCTTATAAAGTTATAAAGAAACAAATAGAAGAGCCGAAAGTGGTAGGTACGATTCATATCTACACCCATGGTTCTAAAACAAAACAAAACTTAGGATGCGGAATATACTCCAGATTTCCAGATCTTTATACCTAAACGTAAAATGGAATCTAAGCAATAGTACCAGTGCAGTTCAAACCAAGCTGACGAGAATTCTTATAGCAGGAAAATTATTTACCAGAAACAATATCACTGGAAGGTACATGCTGATCTATATAGATAACAGCATTAGTCATCCTGGAGAGAACACAAATTTTCTCAGGGATAGTACATGCATACACTCCAGGCAGATTTACTAATTCAGCCCTTCATCTAGTTGCTGGTCGGATAGAGAGATCCCTAGACAATAAGGAGTCCGCCTTGGGTGTTTTCATAGACGTAGAAGGTGCTTTTGATAAAACCACCTTCCCCAAGATAATACACTCACTAACCAACACGAATATTCCACAGATGATTAGTGGGTGGATACATAAAATGCTCTCAACGCAAGCAGTAAACATAAGTGTAGATGTGAATATGAGAGACTTGCTTGCGAGAGGATGTCCACAGGGAGGGGTGCTATCACCTCTTCTATGGAACATGGTCTTCGACACCCTCATCAGCCTCCTCAATAATGACAGTCACTACACAATAGGATATGCAGATGACCTGGTCATTCTGCAAACAGGGAATTTGGGAACATACTCTGCGAAAGAATGCAAGTAGCTTTCAAAATTATAGAAGAGCCGGAAGTGGCATGTACGATTCATATCTACACCAACGGTTCGAAAACAAAACAAGGCTCAGGATGTGGAATATACTCCAGATCCTTAAACCTGAACATAAAATGGGGTCACATTAAGATGAATCGAAGGTCACGCCACATGCGAAGGTAACCGTCTTGCTGATTCACTGGCCAAGAAAGCAGCCAACCAAATACTTTTTGGACCTGGCAAAATCTGTATTGACAAACCTGATTAAAGAACATTCCCTTGTGAAATTCAAGGAAAGATGGGATGAAACAAGAAACTGCAGAGTTTCCAGGAAGCTTTTAAGTTATCCTGACAATACTGCAGCAAACAAATACTTGACTATGACTAGACAGAATCTGCGCCTAGTCACAGGCATTCTGACTGGTCATTGCCAAGTACGGAAGCATCTCCATATCATGGGGCTGTCAGGATCCGTACTCTGCAGTGGGTGCGAACAAGTAGATGAGACCATCGAGCATATCCTGTACGATTGCTCGACGCTCTCATGTATTAGAAGATTTGTGTTCGGCGAGTATCGGCTAACACCGGCCGACATAAGAGAAGCACCTCTTAGCGACGTTGTCAGCTACATTAAACCTGTAGGTTGGCTCACGAGCTAGGAGGTGCCTATGATCTCAGGAGGATGCACAATGGGCCTAGTTAGGTCTAAGTGCCGTGAGGGCAACCCACCCTCCACATGTTACAGATACAGAGATAATGACTCAAGAAAGACTGTCAAACCAATTTATTTAAAATGAGAAAGCAAGTTCAGCTAATTACGAAGACTCAATCAACCCCTTTGCCGAAAAAAAACAGGGGAAGTTATCCTTTAAAAAGATTTTGGTTAGTTGACTGATATACATTAATAAAACACAAATTTTTTGAGGGAGTGGCGACTACAACTAATCTTGTCCCCCGTTTAAGAAATTCCCAGATCCAGAACTGATCCTGGCAATCGACTGTTAGTATTTTGAATTGAAGTATTGCTGTTTGACTTGGTGAAACATCACAGTTTAATACCATCAGTTTATATTGCTCTGATTACGGTTTTTTTTTTACTAATTTGTTCTCTATCGACAGATACGACTTTTAAAAAGTTATTTAATTTCTATATCAAACCGCAAAATATTTAGAATGTCGAGAATTGTTATGCAAAATATTATGAAAATCAGTACGTGATCGGTATCGTTTTACCAACGCAACCCTATCGACCCGAGAAATTAGTAGTAACACTATTAAAAAAGGATTAGTTTGCTGGAGATCGCGTCCGTTATATGTTATGATTGAAATAATCATCATATCACATCAATTCTCATTGTAATCGTCCAAATGAAGTTAGAGTTCAAGGCGTAAAGTCAACAGAAACAATAAAGTATTGTTTGTATTTCATAATGAAGAGTTAAGAGCAAAGATAGAGTATAGTTTCGATAAAACGGTCCATTGTTCAAATTGTAAATGACACCGTCGCACTACCGCACAACTGGGCACTTTCAAGGCTTATCTGGGGTCTTTCAGCTCGTATCTGTTTGCCATTCCTATCCTATGTCAAGGACTGATGTTCCGATTCTACCTCTGCTGACTTCTCTACCGGTTATAATTAATTTTATTAATGCAGATGGTGTAAATATATTACAGAGTATTCGAAAAAAATTTTGGATATTTATATTCAGTAATTTTATCTGCTATAATACAGAAACTACATTTTCTCATAAATATTTGTTGATTAAGAAATGTGGTACATTCTGATAACACAAATTAATCATTTTAATTTTATAAATGAGAGAAACGAATCATTAAAAATGGGTAGTAGTATGTTAAAGTATATTGTTCAACTCATTTCCTACAGTAGTAAAGCTTTTATTGTCTAACAGAAGCATCAGAAGACAATTTAAATAACAAATATAAAAAATATATAAAAATTTAAACTACAATGTAAAAATGCAAAAGATACAGCAAAATCAATTCCAATATTTAAAATATAAGAAAATTTAAACTATACTGTTTAAGTATCTGTAATTAAGTATTATAAACGTGCCTAAAATGGAGCTTAAAATTGAAGATCGGTTACTCTATTTATTTTTGGCAACAATAGTTTAAGGGCGAGCTTAAACCCAAGTTAGTTGTACTTATAAGGGATCTAAGGGACAGTTTCATAGGTTCAATTTAAACTACAAGAAGAATGTAACCGTCATCTGTAGTTTAACTATCAACACATAGAGCACAAGTCAAACTATGAGCTTCAGTTAAACACATACACAAAGCGTATGGTGTAAGATGTTGCTGTCAATGTCATTTGTGTTTTTTCAATCAATAACTTTGAAGTTCATTTTGGTTAGAAAAATATTTTAAATCTAAATCATATTTTTTTATAAATAGAAAATTTATTTTGTGTGATGATGAAGATGATTTGGATATTTGTCACAAACTTTTTTATAAGCCATATTCATCTACAATTTTATTGATATAAAGTTAAAACAAGATAGTAAAAAGTCATGTAGATGAATGAAGATTGATTATGGACAAATATGCTCACAAAAAATGATTTCAAAGACTTTTTGAAAATTTTTACAAATCTGAAATTGCTCTATAATTATCAAATTTGTACTTTTTCCATTTTTAAAAACAGGACAAACCTTGGCTTCTATCCATCTAGTTGGAAACCGCAGTGATTTTATATATTAAACATTAAACACAGTGGAAAAGTCAATACACCAGCACAATCTATCAAGAAATGATCAAATGGCCATTGTCATTTTACCTATTATTTTTTTTAATGTAAATAAATAACAATCTTGTTAATTAATGGGAAACGTGAATTATTTTCGGAAAATACCTTAGCAGAAATCAGTCTTCTCAATTTTTCGAAATATATGCCGTTTTTGGTAATTGTATATTATGTATTTTATTTAGATTTTCCATATTTTATATATTTTTATATCTTCATTTGAAAATTTTAATTAAAATGTGTTTCCTAAATAGTTTTTTGCAGAAAATTCCAATTTATTTCCACTATATGAGTATTTTTTATTTTCTAAATACTTTCATCCGCAATACATTAAAAATACTCAGCTCATTTTTTATTCTTTAACTGAAGACCTTCAGTTGCCTATTATAAAGATCTTATATGAATTATTTAAGGATTAAAAATAATATTTTTTTTTAAACTTACCAGTCGTGAAGAGTACTATGGCTTTCAAACACGAGTATTCTGCTGAATCCACGTGCAAAGCTTTTAATTTTTCTACTTGTTCCTGAAAGAAGACAAATAAAAATATTACTAATTCACCATTCTAAACTTAATGTAGAGAGAAATGTAATCATATTTTAAATTAATAAGAATAGTTATTTATGCAACATTCATGTGATTGTCGCACTCGCCTACGGCTCGTGCGACAACATTCACATTCGTCAAAAAAGAGTAACTTTACACACTTGTTGTATACAATATTTCTTCTACTACCGTACACATTATCCACTACTATTAGAAATATAAAAGTTACTTTTTTTCACTTTACGCACTAGTGAAAAAAAGTACAACTTTACGCACGGTAGTAGAAAATACTATATTCTGTAACAAGGTTGGAATGAAAATTCGATACGACTGGAAGATTCTGAACGCGAGTGTAAGCGAGCGTGTAGAGCCACGAGTATTGTATTTTCATTCCAACAGAGTAAAAGACTGTACTTTCTCCACGGCTACAGACCCAGTAGGAGTTGAATATAGTAAAATAATACTTTGAACAAAATGAAATATTTAATCTTATGTTAGGCAAGTTTTTATTTAAATTATTTGCATCGTTTGTCAGTTCAGAAGGAATATTATCAAATTCCATATAAGAATCATTGTATTCACAAATTTTTGAATTTAAATTCGACTTAACAACGACTTTATCCAGGCAAATTTAAACTAGATACTAATACGTCGCGTAACTGTCAGTCATGAAATTCATGACTATCTACAATGCGGGCGTAGTATTCACATTTATTGCATGTGTTAATTGAGTCTCGTGGTTTTCTTTTTATCCTTTTTGACGATTACACATTATCACAATTTTCATTTCATCAAAAATTTGTAGGTATATTTCTTTATTGATTCTTCTTTCCCAGGATTCCGTTGAATTAGTTTATTGCCTATATTTCATGTAAAGCAATGGTTCTTATAACCATGGATTTATCTGTTTTTACACAATGTTAAGTTTTATGGTACTTTTTAATATTCCTGTTATTTGTTTAACTTTAAATTATTGATTACACTTCATGTTAATTAGATAATTAACTAAATAGGGAGTGTATACTTCTTTAAATTCTGGGTACATATTTTCTAATCACATACAGAGTGCTTCTGTAAAATGCATACTTTTCAATTTAAAAAATCCCTAAATAAACATAGTATAATTATTGTATCGGGGTAAATAATTACGAAGTTTTGTAAAATATTTTTTACACAAAGTCAAAATAATATAATTATATTATAAGAAATTTATTCATAAAGTATTATAAAAAATAAATTTAAATATTTAAATATTTCTTAAAATGTCTGAATTTAGCAAAAAAAAGAACTTAATAAAAAATGTAATGTCGACCGCCCTAAATGTTATATTATTCGAGTTGACATCACACTGCTTAATTCAAATACAACCCTTTGGAATTGACATCGAAAAAGCTATCAATCACGCTAAACCTAAAGAGGGATTGCACCTATTTCAATAAATCCAGCTTAAAAGTTAACAACGTAAAGACTAAGTAATTAGTTATTGGCTTACTTGAAATATCCTAATATGATCCATAAATTGCACCACCCTGTCGGCGCACATTGGCGACGCATGGAGGCCGGCAGCAGCAATTAGGGGTGCCACATGCAACGGCATGGAACACTGACTTGCGTTTAGCACAAACAGTTCTGACCAAACTAATCTAAGTAGTGCCACCTGTAACCAAAATCCCTCCATTAGTTGATTGCCTCTGTGGTTCTGATACAGACACTGGGATGGGATGGGATAGGGTGTTACGCTAGGGGAAAGGGTAACAAATTTGATATATTTCAACGACGTGTCACCGATGCCGTCGTTGCTATCAAAGAGGAACGAATGTATTTAGCAACACAACAGGTAGATAGATCCACATGAAATTGAAATACATTATACAAAGGGTGCGGAGTCTCAATCAAAATATTTTGAGTTATTATTAGATTTATTTGCTCAATTGTATTTATAAAGAATGTTATAATGTCATAAAATAATATAAAATGACAATGGTAGAAATGCAGAAATCTTTGTTACCACTAGATCTTGTTACAATAATTTTGTTAGCATAAAAGAATGTAAAAAAATGTTGGATATCTTTGCCTAAAAAATGTTACTTAGCCTCGGTTAAAATGTTGCTTAGCCTCGGCTGCAAATTTCTGATTCGATCAAAATAAGATCAACACCTTGGTACACAAATAACTATTAGTGGCCTCCTCTATATGAAGGAAGCTGAATGCAAAAGTATGAAATAAGTTTTTAATTGAAAAAACATGATCTTGTTGTGATTTTTTATTAGGCATCTACGCTTAATAGTGTAATACCCGAGAGTTGGAACAGTTCTTGGCATCTCCCTTTTTATATATAGGTCTAATTATACCTTTTCTCCATTCTTCAAGTACTGGTCCTTCTTTCCATACTTTGAAATATTTTTTGTTTATTTAGTCCCTGTTATAATTATTTTTAAATAGAGTGACACCGGACGTAAAATTCTCAATAACAATAAGCTATATTTGTCTACTAAAAAGTCCGCTGATGTGTTGTCGACAAATGAGTCCTTAAAAAATCTTTCGGTAGAATATTAGTAACGATAATAGGAAATAAGAATAAATTATTTTCTCTTCCAACACGTTTTTAAACATGTGGTAACAAACTATTAACAAGGATTTTGGTAGGGAGTTTCGGGAACAGAATGAAAAGGATTTAAAGGATGTCGCGTTTTAAAACTAATACGGGACTTTTCAATAACGAATACTCACCTGGTCGGTGACTTGGAGATCAGGAAAAAACGGTATATTCCTAGCCCACTCAACTGCGGAAAAAAGTAACCTAGCTGCTAATTCACAAATATTATCTATACCCATAATATTGTTCGTTTGTAGGCATTGCCCATACCGACTTGTCGGATACGGTTCTGCCCTTAATAACAATGATATGTAACTACTAAGGTACGTGTGGTTGCTTATCGACGTCGTCATAGAGTCTGTGGAATTGAGAAATTGATTTGGTAAGCCCGGAAGTGATGGTTGGGACGGTGGTACCCTTCCTCTTTGGACGGCTGAAACAAAAACATATTTATTAATATACATATCTTGCAGTGATTAGAAAATTTCTTTCGAACAAAATAATTTGAAATGAATGTAAATATATGCGACTATGTTTACGACAGCTTTTTGTTTATTACACAGTAGATACTCTGGCTAGGATCCAACTTAAATTGAAGATTCAGAGACAAGTAAGTACGCGCTTTAATAATTTAAGTTATTTTCCTAAACTGTCCTGCAATACTTAATGTTGGACTAGACCATGACATACAATTAGACAGCTCCGAAGATCTGGACTAAAGGATGGCGCATTCAGTTGAAGCTTCGTTGCAGAGTAAAAAATGTATTTTCTGCTTGAAACAATCTCTAAATTGACTATATAATATAACAAACTGCTCCTTTACAAGCAAATACTAAAACCTGTTTGGACACATGACATTCATAATTTTGGAGCTGCTCCAGTAAAAGAAACATTCTAATTATCCAATGTTTTCAGAATACAGTATAAAGAAACATCATCGTTGCTTTCTGTAGTAAGTTCTGCTGAAACAGATCTCTTAGGAATGGAGATTGTTAACTAACTTTTACAGGATTCATAAAGAACGATTTCCACATCAAGTGAACATCAAGACTATCCAGTTTCTGTACGACACGGAAGTTGTACGAAGACTCAAGAAAATAAAACATGTCGAATTTGTTATGTTATTATATTAGTGATAAGTATAACAACTTCGACCTCATGTATACGTCAAAACAAGTGTAGATAATTTAAAAGACATTAAGGTATACCATAGTTGAATCACTTAGAAATAGGTACTAATGGAAGGCCAGACATGTTTGAAAAATGCTGACAAAGTTACCACAACTTCGAAAGAAGAGTTCCTTTCATCAAACATATTTTCCTCAGAGGAAAATTACAATATTTTAATTTGAGGCACTGCTTCAAGCGAACATGGACTCCATCTGACCCAGATATATCTTCCATAAGCCATATAAAGTTGTAACAGAATAAATAGAAGAGCCGGAAGTGGCAGGTACGATTTATATCTACACCGACGGTTCTAAAACAAAACAAGGCTCAGGATGTGGAATATACTCCAGATCCTTAAACCTTAACATAAAATGGGCTGTGAGCAATAGTGCCAGTGTAGTTCAAACAGAGCTCACGGGGATTCTCATAGCAGCAAAAGAAATCACCAGAAGCAATATCACTGAAAGGAACATGCTCATCTATACAGATAGCAGACAAGCACTACTCACCCTGAACAGACCACGAATGTATTTAGGGTTAGTACTAGAATGTCACGAAGTTTTGGCTGAAGTATCCATTAACAATGTGGTCACCTTAAGATGGATCAAAGGTCACGCCACATCGAAAGGTAACCATCTTGCTGATTCACTGGTCAAGAAAGCAGCCAACCAAATACTTTTTGGACCTGATCCTTCTATTGGCCTGACAAAGAACATTCCCTTGTGAAATTCAAGGAAAGATGGGATGAAACAAGAAACTGCATAGTTGCCAGGGAACTCTTAAGTTATCCTGACAACACTGCATCAAACAAATACTTGACTTTGACTAGACAGAATCTGCGCCTAGTCACAGGCATTCTGACTGGTCATTGCCAAGTACGGAAGCATCTTCATATCATGGGGCTGTCAGAATCCGCACACTGCAGAGGGTGCGAACAAGAAGATGAGACCATCGAGCATATCCTCTACGATTGCTATTGGCTCATACCGACCGATATAAGAGAAGCATCTCTTGGCGACGTTGTCAACTACATTAAATCTGTAGGCTGGCTCACGAGTTAGGAGGTGCCTATCATCTTAGGAGGATGCACAATGGTCCTAGTGAGGCCTAAGTGCCGTGGGGGGGGGGTAACCCACCCTCCACACGTTACATATACAGATCACATTATAATTATTAGTACATATACATATGAATTATTTTATGAAAAATAAACTGTTTTAAAAATGTAAGTAAGCTATTATTTTTAATAAAATTACATTTTGTCGTATGCCTCCCTTTCTTGCCGCATATATTCATGTCATGCAAAATGAATTAAATTTCTACGAATCACGTGTAGGAATAACTCCTGTTTCTGATAGAAATCTATACCTCTTTTAATATTTTTCCGGTGTGAACTGCTGCAAGTCAGGTCGCGAAGCCAATTCCCATACTTAATGGTAATGACGAAATTCAGGTGGCAGGGTGATGGGGTTAATTACGGTATGGGTAACGGAAGCCAGATTGAATCACTGTTGTTAAATATTTTTACGGGTGCTTTATTTGCCACAGCAGGTGGAAGTACGCAATAAATGGTCACAAACGGGCTCGCTCCTCAAATATTTAAATTGAATTTTTGAATTATTTTGATTAACTTTTCTTGTAATTGTTTTAAAGAAATTTTTGCACTTTTAAATTTAAGGTGATGTTGCCAACAGACAGCCTTCTGTTATCTTTGAAATTAACGATAGGTGAAATTTAAAATTTAGGAATTATAAACTATCTACAAAACTCTATCGGAGAGCAGTTGATTTTATAAATAAATGTAAAATACAAGTAAAATTAAATATGCATAGATTGTAACGAAAGTTCAATAATACCCGTCCCACGTGATCTGGTAAAACAAGAAATTTAATGAAAATGGCCGTTTTAAGTGACTTATGACGCTTTAAGTATCAGTTCTGTCAAATAACTCAGTGACATTGTTTTATAATATAAATCTTGGCTTTCTTGATACAAATATCATGTACATTTTGTATACCTAAAGACATTTATTATTATGTACATTTTTTATATATTCATTAGGCAACCATGGTTATAGATACTAATTACATTTATAAAAATTTGAGTAGAAATTTTAAAATATTATTAAATTGTTACAAAAATATAAAAAAGGTCAAAACAAAAACAATAAAAGAATGCTTTCATCAAATCATATTTAAAAATGTTTGCTTCAGGTATCAAAAGGAGAAAAGAACATTAGGCACCTACATTCTTAAAATTAATAGACTCAACAAAAAGTATTATATGTTTTAAATATTTGGCGTTGATTTATACCTACACTTATCACAAAAACTGCACTATCTACATACAGAGTCTTCAACAAAACATGTATCCCACGTGACTAAATTGATGCCATCAACTGACTAAAAGTAACATTAATAACAACACTAAAATAATGTATCTGACCTATTTGACATAACTGATACTTAAGTTATTATAAAAGTCACTAAGACCATTTTCATAAAATTTATTTTTCACCAAATCATGTGGGATACTTGTATTGGTATTGTTGAAGAGTCGTTGGCACTCTCGACCGTATTTTTTTTAAGTAAAAGTGAAAATGTAATTTATTTTAATCAATGACATAAAAATCTGCATCCCCTTTAATCCCCACCACGTGACAACAACTCCTAATATTTTTTAAATAGTAAGAGGGGTCGTATGGCACAATTTGAAAGGGGTTAAGAAACCGAATTCAAAAATGTTAAAAACACATACTATAATTTTTTCATGGAGTAGATAGAGTATTTTGGGTACCGTCTGCATTAAATTAAAGTTTTTTTTATTTATTATGTTTAGATTTGTTAATTTTGAAAATTTAACAGATCACTTTGTTTACATTTTAATTTATTTAAGATGATTACGTCATATAAATTTTTAGATCAGTTATTTTCTATTTTGCATAATTTTGTAAAAACATAACGATCTATTTTTAGTACTAATAACATTTATTAATTAATTAATGCGAATGTAACAGACAATGAAGCATTGTATTTTAATAATATAAAGCAAACTTCATTTTTAGAGCTATTATTATTATTTGTAAAGTATTTTTTCTTTCGAATGTGTCATAAAACATCGTGTTTCGGACATAAAACATAATCGGAAAGGAGAACTTTTAAATATATTTCAAATTAACTGCTGAAATAGAAGTTTGTGCAACAAGAGTGGATATGGACAATTCACAGTATATTTTTTCTACAACTCAATAAAGAAAATCTAAATTTTTAAAAATAATTTTAGGTTAGAGACAAAAACTAATTTCAAAATAATGTATGACTGTTATTAATTTATAAAATAAAATAAACATAAAAAATTTATTTAATTAGTCCCCAGCCGGGATTTGAAAGCGGGCCTCTCGCATGGAATCAAAACGCCTTGTCCTCAGCTCCATCGCCACACTTCCCATTTTAGTTTTAATAATTAAATTAAAATAGTTTCATACAGTTTGATTAAAATTTGAGATTTATTTATAAATGTGGACGAAGTAAAAATAGAAATAATTTTTACTTATATTTAATGTCAATAACTGAAAAATATACTGACAATTAGTTTGACAGAATTGTCATTTATATAAAGTTTAAAAAATAATAGTAGCCGGATGACAAAAATATGAACTGTCATTTTTATTAGGTAAAATGGATATGAAATATATTCGTTCACTTGAACGCAATTGCATACTTTTTCGTTTTTTAGTCTGTTCATGGATAAGCTAGCTAATGTCCATGTGGATTTAGAAAACATACTTTTTTCTATACCCACATGGATATTAGCTAATACACAGACTACAAAACGAACGAATACTCGTATATTTCATATCTATTCTAGGTAGTGAGAACACTGCAAAAAAATAAAATCCACCAATCACAGTTCATATTTTAGACATCCAACTACTATTATTTTTAAAATTTTAAATAAGTGACAATTCTCTCAAACTTATTGTCAGTATATTTTTTAGTTATTGAGATTAAATATACAATAAAATGAGTTATTTTTGTGTATAATCGATAAATAATAGCATTTTTATTTTTATTTAGTACACGTTTTAAAAAAAAATTTTAATCAATCCTATATAAAACTAATTTAATTACGAGTATTAAAACTAACATCCTAAAAGTAGCGGTGGAAGCAGGGACGGCTCGTGGCCAAAATTTTGGGGGTTCACAATAGCAGAATATAGATGTCGGTACAGATATAGGTAAAAACTGTCAGTGTTTTAGAAAT